CCTGACCTGCTGGTTCATGTACAGTTTGAATACTCAGTCATTTGATAGCAAGACAGTGCCTTTGTAATGGTTCACAACTGATGCTGTAGGGGAAATAATATTCTTTTCTTGGTTTGCAAACTGCATTTCCCCATGAACTCAAAACAGAATATTCTGAACATATTTATGTTCTCTTCTTCAGCACATGGTTAAGATGAAAGGATGTTCGGTGTTTTTTTCTCAAAACATCGCATTATTTGTGTTAATAATTAATTTTCTGCTTGTGAGCTGCAGATTCAAGATTTTTAAACTATGTCTTTAATGAAGGCCTACCGTACAGTCCATTGTAATGTCTCTTGCTTGGTCTCCAGTACTTGGAATGAAAACGTCCATCACTTAAGCTGTGCTGGCAGACTGAGTCTCTTCTGCACAGCATTCATGATACAAGAGTTCTTTTCTATGATAATAAATCTCAAAATAGAACTGACTGACAATACTGTGCTGAATATGGATGAGTGAAACCCTGACTCGGCAATTTAAATCCCACATTAACAACATTTGACGTACTGTAGAGATAATTTTTTTCAAATTGAAAATATATATATATCAAAATATTTAGAGCGCTATTGCTCTTTGTGTTGCAATGCAGTGAGACTAAAGATATCATGTGGTTCAAGCAGGTTTTGTCCCTAGAGCGAGATAAGTGTATTATGTTCAACATTTTCAAATTGATCCTCAGTGTAAGGTGAGGAAGAAAATTTACTGAATGATGATGATGATGAAGAGAAGAAACGGTCTGTTTGATGAATACGACTCTTCACCAACTGAGAGAATTTATCTGAGAGCTTTGTCTGAGAACGCAGTGACACAGCCGTGGGTCTTTTGGGCTTTCTTAACAACAATAAAGCTGTAAAAACATACCCCCTTTCTCATTTCCCACATCTTCAGTTCTCATCTTTCTGACTTATATCTTACTCTCAAGAGACACGAGTAGGGAGGAGTCCAGGCAACAGAAACTATGTGAAGCACCCTCGCCTTGCAGTCTCATTTTAAAATGCCAGTTTAATATGACATGTGGCACAACTGCAATAATAATTCCTTTCCCAACTACTGCTGCTCAAATATAAGTGTTCATTACGTTTTACAAATTCAGAACATGTTGTAATGTTACAAGATTTACCTTTAAACGTGATTTAAAGGATTGGATGGATTCTGACGCACAGACATCAATCGGCAAGCTTATCCAGAGTTTTGGTGTGGCAAAAGCACGATCCCCCCTACTCTTCCGTCGAGACATTGGTTGCATTAAGAGCCCCTGGTTAGATGATCTGAGTGCTCTCATGGGGATGTATAGGTCAAGGAGGTCGATTAAGTAGCTGGGTGCCAGGTTATTTAAAATTTTAAAAGTGTATAAAAGGATTTTAAAAACCATACGGTATTTGACGGGGAGCCAATGAAGGTTGGCGA